TATTATTATTATTATTATTATTATTATTATTATTATTATTACCATCATCATCATCGACGTTGTCGTCGTCGTCGTCGTCATCGTCGTCGTTATAGCAGCTTGGAAATTCTAGTCGAAGAAGAACGGGGCACGGACGATCGAAAGTATGCAATTACAGCGGTGAATAAGTTATGCTGCGCGCGATACTGGCCCTCACTACTTGCTCTCCTAAGTAAAAAAACAGGAGACTCGGAAGACGTGCATGCGTAGTAGTGAGAGATAATAAAGTTGATAAGGGTGTAGAGTGAGCTGCTCGACGTCCCCCTACTACTCGACCTCTTGCGAGAAAGAGAGAGATAGATTGAGGAGAGAGACAGAAGTAAAGCAGAGGGGTAAGTGGGCGTGGCCGGGGGATAACGTCGAAGCGAGCGATTGGACGGTTCGTGGGGCGGCTTCGTCAAATAAAATCCAATCGTTGCTACCAAAGGAATGCGAATCTCCGAGCTTTTTTCCTGCCTTCTTGGTGTAGGACTTCCACCACCATCACCACCACCACCACCATTACCATCATCATCGATACCTACTACTACCACCCTTATCTCATCTCTTTCTTTCCATTTCAAAACGCCTTCTCCCTCTTGTCTTCATCTTTCTCTCTTTCTCTTTTTCTCAATTGAGGTGGGGGTGAGCGCAGCAGCACCGTTTGATGGGAGTATGATTTTATTACGGCATTACCGAGCGAGCCAAACCCCGAATTGCTCGGCTTATAGTCTGTATTATCTCACCTAAGAGCGAAAAGAGTATTTTGGTGGGGGTTATTGAGAGAAAGAGAGAGAGAGAGAGAGAGTGAAAGAGGGAAAGGGAAAGGGGGATGATGAAGGAAGGAGGCGTCGGAGCCACTACCACCCCTTCTAACTCTCCCTTCTTCCTTTACTCCCGGTCGCGGTAAAGGTAGGAGGGGTGTCTCCGGGAAGGGAGGAAGGGTGGTATCTCGAGTACCAACTATATGCTGCTTTGTGGGCCTTCATTCGAGGGTCGCACGCTAGCACGTTGCGCGCTGCCACACTAACCCCCCTTCTCTGTTCTCAAGCTCACGTCAGTTGACATTCCGCTGCCGAAATCGCATGTTTCTAGCGCGCTCGGCATCGCGTTATTCACATATGATCGACTACGCAACGAATCTTTTCGCGAATTTTAATAGGATAAAGGTGATTGTGTCGTCTTAATTTTATATTTGTTTTTAATTTCTCGTGTGAATCCGAGTGAGTGACGAATTTTTCTAATGGTTTTCTACGAGAGAGGGCGTTAAAAAAAGAGTTAAGTATTGTTATGATTAATTAATCATTCGGAATAGAGGATTAAAATGTCTCGTTCGATGTCGGGATTCGCGTCACGGAGATAAAACGATCATGTTGCTATCTAATGCGAATATGATTTATTGATATTACTAAAAGAAAAGAAAAAAGAGAAGGAAAGAGGAAAGGAAAAGAAAAGAATGTGTATACTTCGATCTTGACGTCGTAAAAATGTACAATATTGCTAATTGTAAGTGGATGGTTTAAGGGGGTCTTTGATAATCGTTCGAGCCTTGGAAGAAGAAATAAAAAGTACTGCGTAAGAGGAAGAAAAAGTAAAAGAAAAAGGGCGAGAGAGAGAGGAGTAAGGGAGCTGGGCTATGTTCCCCTCGTCAGCGGCGATGCTGAAGAATCTGCAACAAAGTGCAATGACCTCGCCCTTCTTAATGGAGAATCTCCTCCAAAGTAAGGCCTCGTCGGGAACGGACTTGACTAGTCTGACCTTGAACTGGGCGGCTAGTTTGGTAGCACGACAGCGGGAGAGAGAATGCGAGGCTAATCTAAGAATCGGTAGAGAGAGATCGTCTCCGACACCACCGAGTATTAGTCAAGAACACTCCGAACAGCAAAGAATGTCGATGATTGTTGGATCACGAGGAATTGATCGATCCGGTTCAATGATGGATTGCAGGGATCATCAACGAGCTAACAACAATAACAATAACAACAACGGTAGTAGTAGTAGTAGTAGTAGTGGTGGTGGTGGTAGATTGGAACGTCAAATTCAACGGGACGAGAGGATGCAATTCCTTCGGGGCAAGGAACCTCTGGAGAGAGGTCAGAACTCGTACGTCGACGTTGATAGCGAGAGAGAGTCTCATAATAATGTCGTCGAGCGTCTGTGCGCGATGGAGAGACTCTGCAACGAGAGGATCGAGAATCGATCAAACTCGGCCATGGACTCGTGCAACTCGAATGCCGAAGAGGATCGTGTCTCCACGGAGATGGACGGTGGTCTCCACAGCGAGAGAGATCGCGAGGATACGGGGATTCTCCATGCGGATAGACGCTACGACCTTGGGTGCAGAAACGTCATGCACACGTCCGACGATATGACGATTCACGGAGAGAGGGAAGCCTCAGTGAACAGCGAGCGTGGACTCGACAGGATAGGCGAGAGGACGACCGCCTGTTCCTGCGGCGACGAGCAATGTTTGGGGCCTGCCTGTAGAACCATACAGGAGAAGGAGAAGCCGCAGCTCAAGTTCAGCGTCAATGCGATACTAGGAGGCAATCACGACAGGAGACCGCATCCTGGTAAATGCTTTCTCTTCGATTTAACTAGACTTGACTTTGGAAAATGATTATTATTATATCGTTGCGTTAACTTGAATTACGATAGTTCATCTTCTTTTATCACATTATCTTTTGAAATGATCTACTCCAAGCTCGATGGTCCCAACAAACGCAATAAAGAAAAACATTATCTCTGATCGTCGATCGTCGGAGATGAAAGTTTTCCTTTCTCTTTAGATAGAATTTAGAGTGTTGAAACAAAGCTAACCACAAATCAGTGTCGCGAGCAGACTTCTGTCGGTGGTCCCTAAATCTCATCCGCACACCCTCAAGACGAGTCGCAGCGTGCGTGCAGGGTGGAGCAGGGCGTCAGCTGGTCGACCACTTACCTTCACCCCAATATTAAGCCCTTACGATTGGTGCCTATAATATTAGACAAGCGGTAGAATCCAATGATGTATTGCCGACCGCTTTTAACGCCTTACCTTTGCTCCGGACGAACGGATCACTATATTGATAACCTTTGATAATTGTCTGACCATTAAAAGGCTCGTATCGCTATTACGCTTTAAATTGTAATACGCGCGAACATTTTTTCTCTTTATGGTTTATAATCGATATCCTAAACGATAAGAATGGAAATAAAATGTAGAAAAGTTTTGAGATATCGGCATGATGTCATTAATAAATCGTTTAACGTTGTACATCTTTCGACAGCCAATTCGTTTTCGATCGCCCAAGGTATATACGTGCCTGCGATTACATTATCCGCTTTTCAATTTCTCCCAATCATTTGTGATAAGTATGACGTTATAGAACTGGTAATAATGTTAATGACGCGTATTAATCGTCCGACGGATCTCCGATAGCTGTTAAGTATGATAACGATATTCTAATGGATCTTTCAACGAACGAGATCTTGTCTTTCTTTTGAAAATCATTTTCCTAGTTAAACGAACAAAACCAATGTACATAGGAATAATGCGGTTTGTTGTTGGTAGCCTATAGACTCGGCCATCCGATCATTGTGATCCTCGTCCTTTTTTTTTTTATTCCATTCCATCTGTACCATTCCGTGATTGACACACCGTCGATGAAGTCCACCCGCGGCGCGATAAACGCACCGGATACAGACGTAGCAGGTACGGCACGCTGCACGAGGCGTCACGATCGGTAGGAAGGGAGGAGAATAGAGAGATTGGGTTAGAGTGAGCGAACGAGCAAACGAGAAAGAGAGAGAGAGAGAGAGTAAGATGAGAGGGGGTGTACAGACAGAGATAGGCAAGGGGGTTGAATGTTGCATTTAACATCAGCGAATTGCATGCATGCGCCGTGAGGACCGCGAGGATGTTCGTGGCTAAATCAGAGAAGGAGGAGGATGAGGTGGGAGAGGAAAAGGGAGTGAGTTGGAACTCGATATGGAGGGTGGGATTTCATGCATTTGTCGGGATATAGTGGATGCATTGACCGTGCCACGTGCATGTGTTACATCCCTTCTCCTCTCCTCTCGCTCCACTTCCACCTCCAGCTTTACCTGCCCTCCACTTCTCTTCTCTCCCTTTCTCCGGTGATCTCTCCTCGTTCGCCCGCCATGGTAACCACCCCCTCGTGAGGTCGGACCCACCGGTTATCCCTCTTGCACCCTAGCCAACCAATTGTACGTCATGTCGAAACGTAGTGAAATAATTGCGCGAAAAAGTGATTGGCAACAAACTCGAAATTCATCGACGAAACGAGTGCGTGCCGGGGGTACACGCGTCGTCGAATGGCCGGATGGGTGGTGGCCGCTCGCCCGGTGGGATGTTACGATAGAAGAGCACGGTTAGAGCAGGCTGGTGGAGAGTAGATGGAGGAGTGACGAGAGACCGACGTTGAATTTCGAATACCATTTTCACCGATCGTTGGACGATTTACCGATCCTTTCTCTGTCACTCCTACTACCTTGCTTTCCCCTCTCACTCCCATTCTCGATTCGCTCTTTGTCCTTCTGTCTGTTCATGTTTTTGCTACATACAGCGATTATTGATATTTTCCGATATCGAATGTGTCGACGTGACGGGATTCGTTATAAATCGCGATAGAGAGAGAGAGAGAGAGAGAGAGAGAGAGAGAGAGAGAAAGAGAGAACACGGAGGCTCGCTCGCTCGAGATATACGTATTTTCTCTTTGCTTTGTTTCCTTTCTCTTTCCCTCTTCCTTTTTCTCTCTCTTTCCCTATTTAGTTTGTTTTATGCGACTGATGGCTATGCGATGAGACTGCCTATCAGTTTTCCTTTTTTTTTTTATATTAAATACAGGTGCACGCGAGATAGAAACGTTGTGTTTCGGTTAAGTACGTGAAAGAGCTGAAAAACGAATAGAAAAAGAATGACTCAGAAAAAAAGAGAGGGAGAGAGAGAAGAAATGATAGAAATACACGAGTGAAAGAGATCACAAAATCTCCGTCATCTCTTGATCTTCATCCCTCGCTTTAAATTCATGTGACCCTTAAAGAATTCCTTAGACAAACAAGATGTTCCTGCACGGACGATTAATCGAGAGGATGCTCTATAACCGTAGCGAGCATGAAATTACGTAGAAGGAAATCAGTTAGTTAACCATGCGCGTAAAACAAACAGAGATCACATTAAACGGCCCACGTTGAATACATTCCATAGATCCCTACCTTCTTGCATATATATCCCAATGTGCACATGTGTGTCTCTTTCTTTTTCCTTTTTTTCTTTTTTTTTTTGCTTCCTATTCACTGTGAAAACCTGCAGTGGTATCTAGTTAATAATGCATCAAAAACCTTAATCCCTTAAAATAACCACCGATATGTTATATCCCGTATGCGGTAGGTGGAGATAGATAGGTACAGACAGAGATAGAAATATATATATATGAAACGGGGGCAAATAAAAAAAGAAAGAAAAGGAGGGTTCTCTTAAGCCTCCCGTATATAAAGAGGGGATATTACAACTGTAACAACACGCGCGAGTCGTTTCGAAGTTTTTGGACTGTACGAACTAGAGTTTTAATCTCACTACGAATAAGCAGAAAGAGAGCAACAGAGGGAGAGAGAGAGGGAAAGCTGGATGGTTGTAAGGGGTGGAAAAGTAGGCCTTGATGTGAAGACCATCTCGAAGGGGGAGTGGCGGGTTAAAAAAAAGTCTTCCTATTCAGTGTTTCCGTTGGAGGTTAAGCCGTTATTAGTCTGCCGTCAGAACTCGAAGTTGCCGGAAAGCTTCTCTCATTGGCTGGCTACGAAAACAACTATAAAAGGCGATGAGTATTTTATGGGGTCTATAGGCACAATGGACCTTCGTGTATGGGCCATTGTCAAGGTATTGTCTGTTCTAACGCAAGCCAAAGCTTTCTCTCTTTTTTTTCTCTCTCTCTCTCTCTTTCCTTCTTTCTATATTTCTTTCTTTTTCTCACCGATCCGCCCTTTTCGATCTCTTTCCGCATCTTTTATAAATCCTAAGCGAGGACCCATTATTTTATTATTTTCAAACACGTCATTTTTTATTTTCGAATGTCGCGTTTTTTTTTTCTTGGGCGTGGTCGTTCGAAGGGAACGAAAAAAAAAGTATAAGTATGGTAAAAATCGTAAATTGATAGACTCTTCGAGAACAAAAAATAATCGTCTTAGCAATGAATACGATTCGAAAATTTATTTTTTTCGAAGATAAAAATAATAGATATATTATTTACGTACAAAAATTGAAAGCGTGCAAGCAACGTTTAAAAAAATATGAACGTTCCGACGGTAGGCTCTTATGGTAGGTAGATTTCTATGGTAGGTTTAACGGTACGAAGAGAAACGTAGTACTATTTACTTCGTCGGAGGTGTTAAAGCGTGCGTCAACAGGAAGTCGGGCTTCGCCCGGAGCCGTCAGGAGGGTTTACTTGGGGGTGTCAGCTCGAATTATGCGTCGCAAGGAATACACCGACTTAGGCGTTCTACCGCAGGATAATCCAGGTTCTCTCGAAACGTTCCGAGGGATCATGTTAAACGTAGCGTAATACGAATATATCTTTCGTACTTTTCTTTGATTTAATCGATTTTTCTCACTCATCTTCGTGTAACTTTTTAACAGAAAACTTTCAAGGACTACCACCGGAAGCTATACCCGCCTTCTTGCAAAATTTGCAAAATTCGGCAGGATACAACATAGCCAAGCCCATAGCAAGGCCTGCTGCTTATCATCCTTATCACAGGCCAAGTCATCAACCACCACAGCGTCATTTGCCACCAAACGCTCATCACACTCTTCAGCAATTATTTTACAGAGGCCCTTATTTAACCGGTGAGTCCGAGTTGTCTTTTTGGTTTCTTTTTTCCTTTTTTTCATTATCTTTATTTCATTATAAAATTCATCCGTTTAGAGTGAAACATCGGAATAGAAAAAAGCTCGTGGTTCGCGTCATTTTCAGCTTTACCGAGTCGAAAAAGTTAATGAACAAACGCTCACACATACCGTGCGTTAGACGGAAACGCGTTTTCGATGAGCATATAAAAGCGAAACTTCCGCATGCGGTGCAGAGAACGCCGAGCGTATAAACGCGCACGGATACGTGCTGGGGCACGAGTTTATCGAATATCTTGTTATAGGTAGGCTCGTATGGGACATGGAGTGCATATGAAGTGTAGTGAAAGCACTACCATATTATGTACATGCACCGCCACAAGCGAAATGCACGCATGCAACAAGTGCGTGCAAATATCATCGGTGCAGATAATACCATCATGCTCAGCTTGGCAATATCGCGCAGATACGATCTGGAGATTCAATTGGCCGTTCGTTATTAGATGACTTTGATTCAATTGCTATCGGGCACGAGCTTCGATAAACGATCGATAAACTTCTATGCTTATGTCAATGTTTTCTTTATCTTCCATCGTGTTAGTTCAATTTATTTCTAAATTAAAATTTAACGAAACGAAATAAGTTAAGACCAATTGTTTATTTAATATTGTTATCTGTCTTCAGTCGCAAATTCTGGTACTGGAACTCATCATCCAGCGGCACCAGGCGGTGGAGCTGCTTTTCCTGGAGCTATTCAAGGTGGTCTAGGTGATTTTGCTGGAACAGGATTGGTCTTTCCATGGGCGACCAACGCTCGTGGTAAACCACGAAGGGGTATGATGAGGAGAGCGGTTTTCTCGGATCTTCAAAGACGTGGACTTGAGAAAAGGTTCCAAATACAAAAGTATATCAGTAAACCTGATCGCAAGAAGCTCGCGGAAAAGCTTGGCCTTAAAGATTCTCAGGTAAGATAGAATTAATTGTTTAAGAAAGAAAATATTTTCGTAATTGTTCACTATAAAACCGTGTTAATTGATTTGAGCACATTAAAGATTATTTAGTTCAAACGAATCGTGCCAGAACGGATATCTATCTGTCCGTTTCATTGACGGTAGTATCACGTACATGCTGCACAAAGAGCGTTGAGTAGATACACGTAGAGTTAGGCACATAATACTCTCTCGGTTTGGGGTTAATCGGGCGATGCCAGTTCATTAGTTGCACACGTATATATACCTACCAACACACACGACCGAGCGAATGAAAACGAGCGCGAGCGCCCACCCATACAACACATACGAGCGCGTTCCAATGTCGGTACCCTGGTGTTACCAGCTTGGTTCGGCTGTGGCGGCGCTAATGAAACTAAACGGTACCCGGAAATAGCGCTGTGAGTTAGTTTCATTTGATTTCATGAGCGTACTTCGCTTAGCCGCTGAGCGTGTGGTCCACGTTTACGTTTACGGATGAGAATTTCTATGGCAACAACGTGTTCACCATTGTATTAAAGGTGGAAACAAGATGAACCTTTTATCATATAGAACGAATGAAAGAAAATCAAATTTATTCTATCTTCGGTACGTAAGCTTATGAAAATTTATAAAGAAATGAATTGATTTGCCTCATGGAGTATCTTAAAAGGGATAAAAGAAAAAGACCAAAAAAAACCGATGACGTTTGCCAAGGCCGTTCGACGCACCGTGTGCGTAACTGCTGGCCATAAGCTCACCTAAACAAGGACAAGGGAAGCCTCTGGTAGCCGGTAAAGGAGTGAATGGTAACAGAGAGAGAGAGAGAGAGAGAGAGAGGTGAGGAAAGAGGGTGACGCCAGGGAATATATCCTCATGTATAATTCACACCTCGAGCGCCATGCCTTTACCCTGATTGGTCGAGAGCCACTCTGCTACTGGTTTTACGAGAAAATCTAAAGATCGCGCATGGACGAGGGCTCACACAGACACATACATACATATATACATATTACATATACGTAGAGATAAACGAAATCTGTCGTTTACTTCCGAGAAAAGTGAATTGGCGTCTTATGATTTTGTTCGAATAAAAGGAGCTCGTAAAACTTTCACCTTGCCTACGTGTCGATAATCTAATTTTTCTTAATATCTAAAATGATCTATTTAAATGCGTGAAAAATAAGGGTTAGTGGTATTTTTTTTTTAAATTTCTCATAAATTATTTAAACTAGATTTTCGTTTAACGTTTTTAATATACTACTTGTTATTGAAAATTTGTATTTTTCTGCAATTTTTTGAGATAAGTTACAATTAAATTGGGAAAACGTACCTGTGTATTAGATAAAAATATTTTGAAAATTATTTTTTTTTCGCAAAATACTTTTGATATAGTAATGGTTAAAAAAAAAAATACGTATACAATTCCGAAACAGAAATTATTGATAACGGTGAAGACAACAAAGTAAATCTCAAAATTAATGCAAATTTAATTTTTTTAATTCGGGAATTTCCTTATTTTATTATACTAGCGGTTCACAGACCAAAGCAATTAACTCCAGTTTTAGAAAGTTTTACAATTTTAATGCTAACTAGTATAATATTAACAGCTAAATGTTAAGACATTGACGGTTAACTTTTCATATTGACAATAATATAAAAATAACAAAAATTTTGTACGATTAGTTAAACAATAAATAATAATACAATGTATGCAACTTTATCAATTTTCTCTACTTTTTGTTTTGCGAAATTAGTCTAATTGACTAACAAGTATGGCTCATACAACGCGTTATATAAAAAAAAAAAAAATAATCGAAATATCTTTGTTATAAAAATTCGCGTTATTATTTATTTTTCTATTAGGGTATTTTATTTTCCCCTATTAATCTTGAAAATGAATAAAATCAAAGAAATAGTATTGAATTTGAAATTAGATCATCCTAGGTAAAGTTTTTATCAAGTTGTCGCGCTTTCTAACGCACATGGCCCGTGAATCTATTCTTTGGTTTTAATTAAAGACGTGCGGTCTACGGACGGCACGATAATAATAAAGCTTTTTGCAGGGGGGATTCCGAGGAAAGAAGAGTGGAAGGGAAGGGAAGGGATGGGAAGGGGGTGGATCTGTGGGTGGTAGTGGTGGTTGGGCTAGAATCCGCACTTTGTGATAGTCGAAGAGAATGGGGCGGAGCAGATGAGAGAAGCCGAGGTGCCGTTTCACTCGGCAGCTTTCTCGAGCTTTCACTACAGTTTATGACGAGGGTGGGTTTAAGAGAAACGCCGAGGGTTAAAGGGGGATAACTAAAGTAATTAGTGATGGCGAGTGAACCTACCCGCCATGCTTCGTTATATCTATAGACGCTGATTGTCGAATAACTTGGACATCCTCTTTGAGATCACTACGATCTTCTCCTCGTGAAGGAAATTATGCGCACGGTGGGCTTGTCAGGTCAATAAATACATTAAAGATTCAACATATTTCTACGTTTAATGAATCCATTAATTACATTTACCTAATGTTTTATTTGTACTTATAATATCATTTATTATCATATTATAATCGTAAACATTTCACTGCGAATCTCTTTTCGAGTTTTTAATGTAAAAATTAAACATCGGATAATTTAACTTTTGCATTATAGTTTTTTTTCCTTTATTTTTTTCCTATTTTCCCTCCAATACTTGTAACGTTGGTCTCAAGTATACTTGTCTTGCACAATATCTTGTGAAAACTGTTCGTGTCGCCCGTGGGTAAGAATCATCAACGCGTCAGTCTTAAATTATCTGGAATTAAGACGAGTCCGAGCACTTTTGTGCCCGAGACATTTTCGCCGTCGGACGGGCGGAAGCTTAAGAAAAAATTGAAGAAAGCCCTGGAGGCTTGTTATCTTTTTCATAATCAAAACCGACGGCACGGGAGTTTCCCTTCTTACAACTTGGCAGGGCTGTCAGAGTCACGCTGAGCTCTTAATTCGCGATAAGAGAGAACGATTTTACTTGTCCTCCTACCCGTTTCATTCCTTTCGTTAAACTCGCGTCCTCATCGGATTCTCGCCTTTTCTTTTAAACAATAACAACCGAATATTTGTTTTTTACGATAGTTTATTTCACAAATGGGACGATATTTTGAGGGGGATAATGTCATTAAATATTTTGTTTTCTTTGCACAAATATGCAAAAGTTTTCATTCGCTAAAGCATTCGAACGTTTCATTCAAAACGATCTTTAAACAATATTATTTGCAAAATTGTAATATTCGAGTATTACACGCGAATAAAGAATAACAATTTATTTTCCCCGATACCATTCGACAACCATTTAAATTTGAAACATGAAATTGCTTCATTTTTTCTCTGCAACGAAAATTGATTTTTTTATTTGTTTGTTTGTTGTTCTTTTTCAATCAAAGTCAATCGATTGATCGATCATTTGTCGAAATCGCTTTTGCAGAACAAAGCTACTTTTCTCTCCTATCTCTCTTCCTATTTGGAATTTATCGAATTCAACGTCGCTAATGACTCCGCGAAGCTCGAAGTAACTTGTGTACTCGATTCAATCTATGCTCACAGAACGAACAGCTTGCCTTTTCCCACGAAACTGACACTGACACGTTAGATAGATCGACCATTAGGTTTGCGTTTCAGCAGGGTATAGAGTTTCCAGGATTTCATCGGTCAAATCAATTTGTAGCCATTAGAACTGAACGGAGATTGCCTTTTACAAAAGGCGCTTCTCTCCGCCAAACGATTCGATATTTACAGAGCATCAAACTCGACTTATATCTTCTTTCATTCTCTCATTCTTTTCAAAAAATAAGAATAATAGTAATGAAAGAGTAATTTCATCGCTAAGGAAAACGAACCCGATGATTATTGAATGTTCCCATTAATTTTTGAAATGCTTTGGCAAAAGATATAGAGAAACATATTAGATAAATACTTTGGTATGGTATCTCTCTCTTTCTCTCTCTCTCTCTTTCTCTCTCTCTCTCTTTCTCTTTCTCTTTCTCTCTCTTGTTCTCTTTCTTTCTCTAATGGTTCGAGTCGCGTAAACCGGCATGAAAGTTCGTTATAACGTAACCCACCGTTTTAACTTCTCTTACAATCTGCCATGGATATTAAAAACAAAGGCTGCCTCTTGCAGGGCATAACATGAATATAACGTTGCGCAATATCTTACGGCTTAGCCCATGGACCTTCATGCATTATGGATTTTACTTTGAGAACGCGACGTTATCCCGAAGGTAGAGGAGCTAAGAAACCATGAATATACAATACTCTGGTATGCATATAGATTTCTCCTTCGTGAATCAACTTTAATCACTTCTACAAGATAAAAAGAGAGCGAGAGAGATAAGAGAGAGAGAAAGAAAATCCGCACTAGTTTCGACTTTTCTTTCGTCGAAGGGTGAAACTAAAATTAAAAATTTCCCATCCATGATTGTTAAATTAGGTGTTACATTTTCTTTCTTTTCAAATTTCTTCATCTTTCTTAAACGAAATTGACGCATGAAAAGAAATATTTCTTCCGGCAAAGATTAACACTCGAATGGATGGAAAAATTCAACGACGAGAAAAATCCTTCTCCCGCGAAAAAAAATACAAATAAAATAAAACAGAAAGGAAAAAAAAACGTCCGCAACGGTGTAGGTATCGTTTTTGGACTCGTCACATATTTCTCCTGGTAAATATCACTTCCGATTTGTGCCAGGTCGTAGTCACTCTCACAGCTGTAGCCGCGTTATACGACCAGCACGCAGACGGATTGTAAATTCGCAAATTGTGTCCCAAGCGTAAAGGCAACCCCGGCAGGCATCCCTCGAGCGTACGTACACCCACCACCGCGAACGGAAACCAACGTCGATTTTCGAAATACGTCCTCTACTTTCGTTCAAGCCGCGAGATCGTATCCATAAAACTCGATGGGTATATAACGATAAACATGAAAAGTTCCTTTTTTTCATTTGACAAATTCAACGTCCGCGTTTTCTTCAAATC